TATATATATATATATATTATGTGTATTATATATATATATTATTAATATATATATATATATATATATTATGTGTAATTATATATATATATGATATGTAAAATGTGTAATTATTAATATGTATATATATATTATGTGTAATTATGTATATATATATATGTGTGTGTGTGTGTGTAATATGTGCAATTATTAATATATATATATATATATATATATATATATATATATATATATATTATGTATAATTATATATATATTACATTTGGTTGGGTTCGGTTTGGTTTATTTTGTTTAACGGAATATCAACCTCAATGGCTTATTTAATGCCGACAACATTTTTAGGATAGATTCGTATGAATAGAGCATGTATTCTTTGGTTTAGATTTGTTTGGTTTATTTTGTTTTATGGCATATCAACCTCAATGGGTTATTTAATGCCGACAACATTTTTAGGATAGATTCGTATGAATAGAATATGTATTCTTTGGTTTAGATTGGTTTGGTTTATTTTGTTTTACGGCATATCAACCTCAGTGGGTTATTTAATGCCGACAACATTTTTAGGATAGATTCGTATGAATAGAGCATGTATTCTTTGGTTTAGATTGGTTTGGTTTATTTTGTTTTACGGCATATCAACCTCAGTGGGTTATTTAATGCCGACAACATTTTTAGGATAGATACGTATGAATAGAATATGTATTCTTTGGTTTATATTGGTTTGGTTTATTTTGTTTTATGGCATATCAACTTCAATGGGTTATTTAATGCCGACAATATTTTTAGGATAGATTCGTATGAAATGTTAAAGTGTTTAGGTAATTTTTTTGATCTGTTTTATGTTTATAATTTTTGCTTTTAGTCAATTTGACTTACGTTGGTAAGGAAAAGGCCTAAAATAATAAAAGCAGTCGGTCATCAAATGTGGCATGAGCAGAAAGGAACTGGTGCAAACTGCAACAGAAGTGCATGCAAGGACACCCATCCATCCGCGACATGGCACTGCAAGAACCCTGATATTATGCAACTGTTGATCAGTGCAGTCTCTCAAGTTCGGGCTCCTAACTACCTGTCGAAACAGCAACCAGAAAACTGCCAACCCTCAATACGAAGAGACGGTGCCACAAACCTCACCCATCACAAGAAAGTAACGACAGCACTGCTACTAATGCCAGTGAAAAGGAAAAGATCCGGGAATACCTTTCTAAACAGGAAATAAGGGATGAACCTCTACTCCTGTTCAAAAGAAGGGAGAGAGGATTAACCGGGTGATAGGAAAGCCTATCTACTCATTAAAAACACAAGAAAGAGACAAAAACAAACAACAAACAAAAGCAAAGACAACGGGTACGGAGACACAACTGGAGAGCCAAGCTGGGCTGGGAGCCACAGCGCAAGTTATGTATGTATAGATCGCTCCTGAGCTAGCGGTCTGGAAGACACATTGAGAGAACAGAGTAAAGGCATATGCTTGAACGTTCCCTATGTTGATCATGTTTGCCGTAATCTCTGAATATGGAATCCAGTGAAGTCCGTAATCTCTTCAATATCAGAGGTTGGCAGTGTAGATTCGGAGAAAGTAGCGGCTGTTAATTCTTTAAGTCTTCGATATCAGAGGTTGGCAGTGAAGATATTTTGGGAGAAAAAACAAAATGGCTGCCTTTATACACGTCGCATTGAATATTTTGAGCTTTCTGATTGGTTAACCCTTCTATTGGTGGACTATAAAATGAGTCAGCACATTTTGGCTAGCTCACTAGTACATAATACCCAAACATTCTAACACACTACATCCGCCCATATGGATCGGCTTGGTTTGATTTGTTTTGTTTTACGGCATGTCAACCACAATGGGTTATTTAATGCTGATAAAATTTACTTATTTTTTTCAAAAATGTATATCTGGTAATTTTTTCAGAAATGTATAGCTGGTAATATTTTATCTTTTTAAAAAAAATGTATAGTTTTTTTTGTGGCATATTAACCTCAATGGGTTAATTAATGCCGACAAGATTTATATTTCTGGTAAAATTCTCTTTTTTCAAATATTTATTGCTGATACTAATTTAAAAAAAAATTATTTCTGGTATTAAAATCTATTTTTACACTTTCATAGTGCTTTGAGTCAGGTTGTGGGGTCAACCATTTGACCATAGCTACCACCCCGGGTCAGGGTGGACCTGGGAACATCAGCAATTAAGAGGTGGTTCCACGCTCTTCAAAACCTCCTGATCAGAGGCCTTGCTGCTGGTCGTAGTTTATCGTCTTACCCAGGACGCGGATGCAGTTTATCGTCATACCCAGGACAGGCTTCCAGCCCGGGTCTGGTCTGGGTAGACCTGGGAACATCAGCGATTAAGAGGTGATTCCACGCTCCTCAAAACCTCCTGATCAGAGGTCTTGCTGCTGGACGTAGTTTATCGTCTTACCCAGGACGCGGATGCAGTTTATCGTCATACCCAGGACAGGCTTCCAGCCCGGGTCTGATCTGGGTAGACCTGGGAACATCAGCGATTAAGAGGTGATTCCACTCTCCTCAAAACCTCCTGATCAGAGGTCTTGCTGCTGGACGTAGTTTATCGTCTTACCCAGGACACGGGCCATATGGTTTGTTATAGGTGGATAGAAGAGAAGCATATGAATCGGATGGGCTGTGGATAGGGAATCTGGAATGTAAATATAAAGATTTAACTTAGTTAAAGTCCAACATTCACTTCTTGTAGAAGAGAATCCCTCCACGCCCGGGAGCCACCAGTAAAAAAAAAATGAAAAGAAATAATGTCCAATGCTTGCCTGAATCTGAAAAATCGCCAAGGACAATATTTCAAAGAGGGGAAAAAGACGGTAAAATGAATTCAAAAAACAAAATAAAGAGGAAAGCAACATTCGGTATTCGTCCGTCTCGTGCGCTACCAGCCTGATCGGGATATATGGAGAACTAGGGCTACCCAGACGCTAGCAGAGTCCAAAGAAGAGGATAAACGAATAGAGTTTGGTACCAGCGCGACTGCCGGAAGGTAGCACGGTGGAGTAATGGATAGAGGCTTGGATTGAGGAATCGGAGAGCCGAGTGCGAATTCCAGTCGAATCCGTTACATTCACTTACGTGCCAATACCCTTGGGAAAGGTGTGAATCCTTTTCTATGGGTAAATAGCAGGACAGACTGGGTTCTATAGCTTTGGATGGCAACTGATCTAGGAGAAGGACAACTCTGAATTCAAACCTGGAGTGGAGCCCTTAAGGCGGATGGAAAGCAACAGTAGTAACGAGGAAAAGAGAGAGGGATGGAGAGAAAGTAAAATAAATACAAAATTAAATTCAAAGATATATATATATATATATATAATTATTTATTTAAAAATATAATTCCATCGCTACATAAGAGTTCTCATGTTTCAAAACAAGACCCGAAACTCTTATGTAGCGATGGAATCATGTTTTTAAATAAATAATTATATTTAGGCTCTACTTTTGTATCGAGCACTATTTTTAAAAAAAAAATAATAACAAAATACGAAAGAACTTTGGATTATTTACCTAACGAGTTCTTTCCTATTTTCTATATATTTTCACACACACACACACACACACACACACACACACACACACACACACACATATATATATATATATATATTTGGTTGGGTAGATGTGAGTTTGTGACCCTGGGTTTCACGCTTTAGCGATCGTCAGACAAACTGATTAATGTTTTAAAAATTTTGGGTTTATGTAGATTGCGTGTATTGGTGTTATTGTGGAAGTGGTGGGGGAAATTTCGTCGTTTTGTCATTCATCGTACTAACGCAAACATCGATATATGCAGACACATATACATACTTGGTCGTCCGTTGGGACTCATACATATATAAACGTATGTGGGCAGTTTCGGCTATGACACATGTATGTATACGGGTGGTGTTATGTCTATACATACGCATTTGTATGTTGAAATGTTGAAATTTAAGCATTGGAAGTGTGGCGAAAATGTCTCGTGAATGGATACATGTCATATTATGTGTTTTCCCGCTGAAAAATATTTCCTCGCATGTATGTATATGTGTGTGGTGGGGTTTGTGTAAAATTATGATAGGTAAAAATTATTATTATTATTATTTATATTTATTTGTAAATTTTTGAAAAAAATGGGGGTTTATTTGTTATATTTAAAGCTGGTTATTTGTTTGTTATATATATATATATATATATATAAATAAATGACAATAGGAAAACTGTAGTAGTTTCATATTGTTAACTGAAAATTACATCAATTACTGTCACGTATGAAGATATTGTTATTATTGCTGTGTTGACGGATTCAATCATTTTCTTTTGGTTTTACGATATTGTTGTGTACGTTTGTTTGGGAGAGTAGTATAGCGTTCTCTAAATTCTTCCAGTTGCTAAGGACATTTTGTTTTTTGTTATTATTAGTTACTTTGTTTAAATAAATTCATTTCGTTTTTTGCCTTGAGAAAGTCCACACTGGACCGAAACGCGTCGGCAACTACCACGGTTTTCCTATTATCATTTTTATTTATAAATATTGTCTTTTCGACAGGTTAACTCTGAGAAATTTTCATATATATATATATATATATATATATATATATATATATATATATATATATATATAATCTGGCAGCCATGTTCTGCTTGTGTGGCATGGTGTAGAGTCCAGTTGCCAGTTTTTCTAGCAGCCACCCATTTAACCTAGATCAGCACTATCTTTTCAAGGCACTTGATGCAGTCCTGGTAGTTGAGGCGGTGAGAAGATGAATGAAGGCATATTGTCGCCACCACTGGTGATCATTCGAAACACCTTCGTAATCACCATTAGACTCATCGAACTCTTTCCGAATCCTCTGCTCTGTTTTCCGATTGGCACCCAAACACTCTGAAATGTTCATATTAGAGCTTCCGGTGCGAATGCCAAGCAGTACAGCAGGCGCGAAATAAAAAATCTAAAATTGTGACAATTTACCATCGCACACTGTATAATTATTTAAAGGTATAAAGTTAGATTAATGGCAATATTGAGAGAAAGAAGAGAATGCTTGTGCATTTGTGAGAAAGAAAGAGAAAGAATGTGTGCATGGATTTGTTTGCGCGTGTGAGAGAGGGAGAGAGAGGGAGAGTTTTTATAGATATGAAAGAGAGAGAGAGAGAGAGAGAAAGAAAGAAAGAAAGAAAGAAGGAGAGAATACCATTGAATGTATGAGAAAAGAGAGAGTAGGTCTGTGTATATTTGTATGTGTGTGTATATGTGTGTGAAAGAGAGAGAAAATGAGTTTTTATAGATATGACAGAGAGAGAGAGAGAGAGAGAGAGAGAGAGAAAGAGAGAGAGAGAATGCCAGTGCATGTGTGAGAAAGGAGAGAGAACGTCTGTGTGTATTGTATGTGTGTGTGTGTGAAAGAGGCTGACATAGAGAGACAGAGAGAGAGACACACACAGAGAGAGAGAGAGAGAGAGAGAGAGAGAGAAAGAGAGAGAAAAAGAAAGAAGGAGAGAATACCATTGAATGTATGAGAAAAGAGAGAGTAGGTCTGTGTATATTTGTATGTGTGTGTATATGTGTGTGAAAGAGAGAGAAATGAGTTTTTATAGATATGATAGAGAGAGAGAGAGAGAGAGAGAGAAAGAGAGAGACAAAGAGAGAAAGCGACAAAGAGAGAGAGTGAATGCCAGGTCATGTCTGAGAAAGGAGTGAGAAGGTTTGTGTGTATTTGTATTTGTGTGTGTGAAAGAGGGTGACACAGAGAGACACAGAGAGAGAGAGAGAGAGAGAGAGAGAGAGAGAGAGAGAGAGAGAGAGAGAAAGAAAGAAAGAAAGAAAGTGAGAGATAGAAAAAGTAAAAAAAAATGCTTAGAATGATAGTTGCGAAATCGATATACTTATAACTACAACTAAACTATTTCTCTTGGTTGTATCAGCGAAGGTAATAGCAAGAATATTCAGTTTTCCAGGTAGAGACGGTGCAAAGTGCCAAGTATAGTAACGAAATGTGTGGTATAAAAAGGGGCCGTAATCGATCGTATCGTAGAGGGCGCTACTTCGATCGAGCTGACGTGGCAAAAGCCGATGTTGAGAATTTCATTTGCACGGACCAGCATCCATTTATATCGATAATCGATTTTTCTGTCAGCCAGAACTTTGGTCACGTTTTGATTGGAATTCTTCAGCGCGAGAAATGTTTAGTTGAGTGAAAAACAGAAGGAAAGTCAAAAACGGTGGAAGTACATTCCGTCAGTTAAAAGAACGAAGCAGAAGAGTCTTGCGAGAAAGAAACTTGTCCGCTTAAAACGAGTTGTTCTTGAAAGGATGCGAAGCAAGAAAGAAAGAAAGAAGAGAATTTGAAGACAGGAAGGAATAAATGGAAAGAAACAATGAATAAAGATGGAAGGATGGGTGTGTGGGCGAAAGCACAAGGAAAAGAATCAAAACAGAATCAAACAAACGGAAAAAAAAGGGAAGCATTTCTAATAAGGAAGATATTTCAAAGAACCGTCGAGAAAAAGAGTGAAGGAAAAAAGCATAAAAACGAGAGGAGAGAGATTAGGATGGAGACGACAGTAAAAAAAAAGAGATAAAGAAATAAAGTAGGAAAGAAAGAAATACAGAAAAAATGAAGAAATAGATAAATAAAAAAAGAAAGAAAGAAAGAAAGAAAAAAGAACGAAAGAAAAAATAGGAAAAAAGCGCAGGTTAAAAAAAGACAGAAAGAAAGAAAGAAATGATAGGAAAAAGCTAAAGTTAAAAAAGACAGAAAGGAAGTAAGAAAGAAAGAAAAAATAAAGAAAGAAAGAAAGAAGGAAGGAAAGAAAGAAAAAGAAAGAAAGAAAATTTAGGAAAAAGCTCAGGTTAAAAAAGACAGAAAAGAATTAAGAAAGAAAGAAAGAAAGAAAGAAAGAAAGAAAGAAAGAAGGAAAGAAATACAGAAAGAATGAAGAAATAGATAACTAAAAAAAGAAAGAAAAAAGAACGAAAGAAAGAAAAAATAGGAAAAAGCTCAGGTTAAAAAAACAGAAAGGAAGGAAGGAAGAAAGAAAGAAAGAAAGAAAGAAAGAAGGAAAGAAATACAGAAACAATGGAGAAATAGATAAATAAAAAAAGAAAGAAAAAAGAACGAAAGAAAGAAAGAAAGGAGCAAAAAAAAACGAAAAGAAAGAAAGAAAGAAATAAAGAAAGAAAAAGAGAAAGAAAAGCCGAAGGAACGAAGGAAGGAAAGAAGGAAAGAAAGAAAGAAAGAAAAAAAGAAAAGAGGAGAAGAAAATGTACAAGGAAAGAATAAAATATCGGAGGCAAAAAAGAAAGAAACAAAGAAGAGAAGAAAAAAGAAAGAATAAAAGAGAGAAAGAAGGAAAATAAATGGTTAAAATTTAACTAAAGAAGAAAGAAAACTGTGAGAAAGATCGATCATATGAAAGGAAGGAAAAACGAATAACGAGAGTGGGGGGGTGACGTCGAAAATATAAAAGAAAAATGAAACAAAGAAAAGAACAAAAATAAGCAGAAAAACTAAAACGAGAATTGAGAATGTTCTGAAATTATGCTGATTTTCAAGGAAGGTCGACAGATATTCAGCTAAAAGATTATTGGTAAACGACTAATTCTATCTGGACTTCTGTATTTCGTTAGAAACAAAGAAAAAGAATATTGAACCTATATGGAAGGGGATGTTGGACAATCTCGTCACGGATGAAGAAGAGACTTGACGCAAGAGAAATGAGGTCCTACAGAAGGATGCCGAGAATACAATGGACCGAATATGTGAGCAACGACGAAGTTAAAAGAGAAAATGGAAGCAAGTGGAAATTGCAAAATCGAATAATCACAGGTAACGACAGGAAAAAAAAGTCTACCTCGAGAGTTTGACATTTTAGGCCACATAAAGATGGCAGAACCAAAATCGAATAATCACAGGATGGGTTAAATTCAAGAGGGACAGAGGAAAAAACATAAACTAGAGATTGAGTAAATGGATGGAGGAACAAAGTTTAGGAGATTAATCTACCTCGAGTAAATGGTTTGAGTTTAAATGGATGGCGGAACAAGGTTTGGATGGAGATTGAAGGCAAAGGTACTGATGAATACAATGCATATAGAAAACATCTTATAGAAATATGAGTATATTTGTTAAATCTTTGAGAACGTTGTGATCATTTTATCTATCTATATATCTAGCTAGTTAGCTACCCAGCTAGGTAGCTAGCGATTTAGATTTCTTCCAAGTTTTCTATTATTCCTGTCATGGCAGGGCTTTGTAGATAAAACAAAGCAAGAAATCATTAATGCACTTGGTGTCTTCTAATTTCAATTTTAACTTAACGGCGTCAACAGAGAAAATAACACTTGCTGGAGCGTCTGATAAGGTTACTTATGATCTTTTCGTCAAATAATGATTTTCTCCCTTTTATTCTGATGCAATGTTGCCAGTAAGAAAGGCTTGAAACGAGTCTTTAAAATCTTTTCTACATCTTTTCTTTTTCTATCTATCTATCTATCTATCTATCTATCTATCTATCTATCTATCTATCTATCTATCTCAGTCTGTTCTTATCTATCTATCTATCTATCTATCTATCTAACTAGCTAGCTAGCTAGCTATCTCAGTCTGATCTATCTATCTATCTATCTATCTATCTATCTATCTATCTCAGTCTGTTCTATCTATCTATCTATCAATTCTATCTAGCTAGCTAGCTAGCTAGCTAGCTCAGTCTTTTCTATTCATCTATATCTATCTATCTATCTATCTATCTCAGTCTGTTCATATCTATCTATCTCATTCTGTTCATATCTATCTATCTATCTATCTATCTATCTATCTATCTATCTATCTATCTATCTATATATATATATATATATATATATATTTGTCCATTTCATAATATATATATATATATATATATATATATATATATATATATATATATATATATATACAATTATATTTAAGACATTATTATCTTTATACATTCTTTTTATAGATACAAATATTTAAGTAAATGCTCTCTTTTTATAATTTTATGAAAATTTCCCAGGCATTCAGGCCGGTAAATGTTGTTTAATACTGTTTATTATAAAACAGAGGATTTACTTAAATATTTGTATCTATAAATAGAATGTATAAACATAAAAATGTCTTAAAATAATTGTCGGACTTTGTCCATTTCATAATGTGTGACGTCATTTGTTTACATTTGATACACCATGAGCAGATATGAATGTACGTGAGAGATTCATGGAAGATTGAAGTTTAAAGACAGTAAATTCGACTTTGCTAACCGAACGCTCCTCTGTGGCCGAATCGGTTAAAAGGCACGTCAGGCTAAATGACGGTTCCGTAGAGGATACAGGTTCGTCGGAGGACGAAAAATTTTCTATGAAAATGTCTCGGACATTCAGGCCGGTAAATCTTGTTTAATGCTGTTTATTATAAAAGCAGAGCATTTACAAAATATTAGTATCTATAAAAAGAATGTATAAACATAAGAATTATATATATATATATATATATATATATATATATATATCAGTATACTCAGTTTCGAAAAAACCTTCGAATTTTTGATTTGCCAATAATCAAATCAATCTCGAAGGAAAAAAAGGTTTTAAAAAAAAGAAAGAGCTAGAAACATGAAAGTCTGTCGAAAAAAATTCGCACAGATACAGGTTTAAAGCCCAAAGAAAAAACCCCGACACGAGTAAACAACTAACTAAAAAGAGCTCAATACAACTGTAGAGCAGACCTAGATAAACCTAGTGAGCCAGACAAACCTACCCAGGTTTCACCTAAACGGATCGAAAATATATATATATATATATATATATATATATATATATATATATATATTTCGTCAGGAAAGATATATATATATATATATATATATATATATATATATTTTTCGGAAAGATATATATATATAAATATATATATATATATATATATATATATATATATATATATATATATTCTCATTCTCGTAATACCTACGTAT